CATTGCTTCGTTTTCTGGATGCGGTTACTTGGCTGTAGTTTTAGTTTTAGTTTCAGTTTCAGTTGCATTTGTTACTCGTACCATTACCGTTGATATATGGGGCTAAACTATGGCTGGCTGTTTGTGTGGCACTTGTGGCACTTGCGGCACTGGCTGTTGCTGTTGCAGTTGCAGTTGTGGTTGTTATTGATTGCTGTACCTACTTGTCACCTGTACAAATGATTTATTTGGATAGCGTGTCGTTGTCGTGGAGACCGAGCAGAAAGAGACAAAAATGGCAATGAGAATGGAAATGGGCCTTGTTCTCTGGCTATCGTATCTCTCTGTGTGACGACTGTCTCGCCTGCCTCTCATTGTCAGACTCGATTCGATTCGATTCAGCACTTAGAAATTTATGTTGCCCAGAAACTGTGATTTGATGGCCGCCGAGCGGGCTGTCAGCGCGGTGGCAAGTGGCAGGGCCAGCGCCTGTTGATGATATCCCGACTGGGGCGGGCCGTGAGCGGCGGCAGCCGCCGAAGCAGCAGCAGCACCAGCAGCAGAGGCACCGCCCGGAGCGGCTCTGCTGCGGCCCGGTGTCGCGCTACATGCGGCACCATAACTCCTACCGATGCCGCAAATGGTCAAGCCTACAAAATCATACGAGATACAAGATAGATAGATAGAGAGAGAGAAATAGAGATTGAGAGAGAGACAAACGCTAGAGCTGCAAAACTATCGATAAGAGGGATTGGGGCGTGCTAACACATACGCTTCGAATTGGAAATGGAAACCTGATCTAAGAAACCAAAAACAAAAGAATGCAGAGAATTGAGGGCCGCTGATTGCAGGCTATCGACCAATCGACAGTCAATCGATAGCTGCATCGATTGTTTTACAGCTCTAACACACGCAATGGATATCGATGGTGTGGGGTAAGATCTGGTCGGGGATCAGGATCAGGACGAGGAGCAGGTTATATATGTATCAGCTAGAAGCCCTAGTAGCCAAGTGTTCAGTAGTATCACTCTGTGTGAGATCAGTGATCTGTGATCTTTGTGATCTGTAATCGTGTGATTGATGCAAATGATAATCGCAAGGCCAAGCACAGGAGATTTGCGCGCAGGGTATCGATTCTAAAGGGGGTTCTATATCATATGATAATGGAGGAAGGCAAAATCTGATTCAATATGTGTACATCTGTATGTGTGTGTGTGTGTGTGTGGTTGTGTGTGTCGATTGTTTTCGATACTTTCTATTTGTGGATTGATATGACGAACGCTTTGGGCTTTAGAAAAAAGTGATTTCATTTATTGATCGTGATCATGAGAATAATACTCGATAAATAGTCATTTCAGCTCTGGTCGGTCGGGAAGCAGATATCAGTTCCCAGTTAACAGTTCCCAGTTCATGGACGCCTAGGATGAGCCATTGGTGGGGGCAACCATGTAATCACCAATCAGTATACGATTCTCCGGCATTACGCCCATTACACCGGCTGCAAAGCAAATATACAAAATTAAGAGTAAGGAAACAGAAACAGAACACACACAAAGAAAAACCAAAGAGAGTAACAGAAATGTTTGATTCACTGACTGACTGAGTGGCTGAGCTGAGCGGAGCTGAGCTGATTGGTGGGTGGGTGGATGGTGGCTGGGTGGGTGGGTGGATGTATGATGGAACACAAACACGAACGAAACGAATCGAAACGAATCGAACACAAGCATCGAGGGCAAACAAATCATCATAATCAGTGCTGGCGGCGAGTTAGTTGTAATGCTAATGATTATTACACGACTTTCGTCATATCAAGTAACACAAACTGTTCAGATCTGGTGGGCTGTGAGGAGGGGGGGCATGGGGAGAGCAGTTAGTACTCGTTTTAGTCACAAGAGTTTCATCACCTTTCGCTACACATCACACACTCTCACTCTCACATACAAATTAATAAAAAAAGGAGGGGCCCAAGGCGAGTGTACCTACAAATGTGTGTGTGTATCAGGGTGTGTGGTGTGTGGGTGTGCATGTGTGACAGTGTGTGTGTGTGTGGGGGGTGTACGTACGGACATATACGAGAGTATGGCTGAACGGCACTTACCAGTTGGATAGGGGAGTCCGAAGGAGGGATAACCCGAATATCCGCGACCAGCGGCATAGGCAGCATAAGCAGCTGCCGGAAAGCCTGCGAATGAAACAATAAACACGATGAGTACAGATATAACAGCTATATATATATATATATATCTAGTGTAGTTATAGTTACCTTCGGGCAATGTCCCCAGACCCCACATGATGTTATCTAAAGGGGTGGCATGAAAAACAAGAGAGAGCACATAAACAGATAAATTACTAACATTCAGTCGATACGATATCAATTATTAGATCTAATAGTCAAAAACGAAAGCGAGTACCGACAGATTATATCAGATATATATGTAGGTAGAGCTAAGTGTTATAGATTATATGAAAGACTGATTTACTATTATGTAGATTTAGATTTGGATTTGGATCGTATTCGATTAGTGTTAGGCTAGTTAGTTGTTCGATTCGTGTGTACTTAGAGAGATCTATAAATATTATGTGTAATATGGCAACTAAGGAACACCATCGTCGAATCGATTGATCGTTCCACTATATACTAGATATGTGTATGTGTAGAGTGCTAAGATTTCTAGAGTATCCTCCCTCCCTCCCGATTTGTGGTTCTCCTCTTGCTTGCAATAACAGCCTTGATCTGAGCTATTTATATATATAGTATATATAGATGTACGGAGAGTTAGAGTTACATTTGATCGATATGACACACAATTCTAAACACTTATTAGATATATATGTATATGTATGTAATCTAAGACATTTAATTTAATGCTAATCTATGAATATAAATTTCAATATTTGCGCTAATAATTCACTGCTTAATATACGTACAGACCAGTACATACGAGTACGAATATATGTTGTAAGATATATCCGTTGCGGGGGCAATTCTAAGGCCTGTGGCAGTGCATTTCTACGAAAATGCCACATGCCAGCAGGCCATTGCCCCGCGCAAACGGCTAAGGATAAGTGAAATCGAAATCGTAATCGAATCGAATCAAATCAAATCAGGAGAATTAATAACTATAATAATAACACATAAAATAACTAAATAAATGGGCTAGATAATTGCTACAACTCAAGAACGGGGTGGGGGTGGGCTGGGGTGGGGGTAGAATAGAAAAAGGTTGACATCTATTAGGAGGGATATTTTTTGTTGTTGTAGAAAATTTGTATATATTTAGCTTTGGGCCACTCCGCTTTACTCCGCTTCAAGCACCAAATAAAACTTGAATTCTTCGACTTTGCTTCGCCTTTTCTCTTCTCTTCTGTTCTGTTCTGTTCTGTTCTCTGCACTCATTCGTTCATCTTTTGGCATCAGTGCGTTGACGGATGGCTGGCTTCCGTTTCCGGTTTGTTTGCTTGTTACTTTGCTGTTGGTTTTGTTGTTGATTTGTTTTGTTAGGTTTTGTTTTGTGGCAACTTAGGCTAAGATTACAATGGATATAACGTCAAGTACAACGTTGTACAAGTACAAACTAGAATCTGAACTTGAGCGCTTAATGCGCTTATCGTAATGCAATATATATATATGTATAGTATATATAGTATATGTAGTACGAGTATGTATGTATATATACGAGTATATGTATGCATAATAAATAGCTAGTTTCATGTTTAGTCAAATATTAATGGCTATATGCAAGACAAGTACAGCACCCACACACATACAGCAGTATATGCATATGGATGTATGGATGGTTGGTCTGAGGAGCAGTTGTGGGGTAGTCAGTCAGTAGCCTGTTATTTCGGCCCTCAACTAACGGAGCTGCAATTTGGCAAACAGTACAGGACAGGACAGGACAGAAGGAGGTCTTGTAATTGGGCAGCCATTATCCATGATCCATTTTAGCAAATTACACTCTGACAGCTGTCCTTACGGCCGCCACAAATGCGCTCATCATCCTACCAATTATGGTATGTATAATCCATATGATACGAGTATACGAGTGTACGCATGTGGATACTTTTATAGCTAATACTTTCTTGTTATTGCTCTTGCTGTGGCTGTCGCTGGTGCAACACCACGTGGTGCCATATAGTTCCAACTTAAACGCTAATTTCGATACATTTGCTAAGATTCAATCCGATTTGATTCAATTAAATGCTTCCCTTTTTGCGTTGCTTTTTGCCACTAAAGAGAGAGAGATACACCTTTGAAGAGCTATTGATATGGGAGATACGATAATGTTCGATATACAAGATATATTCGGATATTAAAACATAAATGATTGGCGCCGATTGCAACATATTTTCTTCTCTTTTTGTTTTTGTTTTTGTTTTTGTTTTGGTTTGATTTTTTTTTTTGGTTCAATTTTACATTCATGTGGGTGGCGGGGTCTCTTAAGTGTCTAAGACATACATATGTTACATGATCGCCCTCTAAGGTCTAAGGTTGCTTCAGGATTGCCCCAAGTTGCTATGTCATCTCGCAGCAATCACATCGCACAATCGCACATCTAAGCAGGTCCCTCTAGGACGACCTGCACTTAGCCTAGAGTCTTAAGCTAGTTCGAGTAACTTCTGTTCTCTTAGTCTCTAATCGAAAGAAAACAAAGTGTAGAATGCGCGCTAGTTGAGTTAGTTAGTAAGTTTAGTTTAGTTTAGTTAATCAAACGTCGCTTGGACACACACAAAAGATACGTTTCAAGTACAGTAAGTACGGTAAGTACATGGCTAAGAGATATTACACGTAATCCTAGGCCTAGGCTTAAGGGCGTTGCATACAAGCGCCGTTTAAATCATTTTTGGACATTGAGACGGAATGAGAATCATATATATATATATATATATATGTACGTATGTATGTGTGTATCTGTGTATCTGTGGTGTGTGTATCTGTGTGTGTTGCCATGAAAGACAGAGACAGAGACATCCAATTGGAATCAGATTTGAATTAATTTTAGTGGATTTGCCACGTCTCACTGCTGCCTGGGCGGTCACATGCCGGGCAGCTGGTAGAGCGAAGCTGCCGCTGCCGCCGCCGAATTGGCGCCCGACATCTCCAGGCCACCCGGCATCGCCAGCAGCTCGCTCAGCGGATAGTGGGCCGCTGCCAGTGCCGCGTTCTGACGCAGCTGCGCCTGCTGGGCCACGGCTGCGGCTGCTGCCGCTGCGGGTGTGTTGGCTGCCGCCGTCAGAGCGCTGAGAGTGGCGCCCGGCGCTCCTCTGAGGCCGCTGCTGACGGCGGCGGCGGCCAGCAGCCGCTTGTAGCCCATCACGGCAGCGGCGTCCGCGTAGAGGGAGTTGGCCAGGGCGGCGTTGCTCTGGCTGGCATTGGCTGCCGCTGCGTATTGCAGCAGAGAGTGCCCGCCCGTGGGGGCGGTACTCGAAAGGGGCATGAGCGATGGTGTGGCACCTGCAGCAGCGGCCACCGCTTGGGCGAGGCTCTGCTGCTGCTGCTGCTGTTGTTGTTGCTGCTGTTGCTGCTGGTGGGCGGCGACGGCAACCGCCTGTTGCTGCTGCTGCACCGCTTGCTGCTGCTGCTGTTGCTGGTTCACAGCGGCTGCAGCAAGGGCGGCCGCCGAGAGGTGGGCGGGCAGCGGATAGGGGGAGTAACGCAGCGAGGCGGCGGCTGCCGCGGCGCCCAGCAGCTGATGGTGGGCATGGTGTGGGTGTGTGTGTGTGTGTGCGTGTGGGTGTGTGTGTTGTGGTGCCTGTGAGTGTTGCTGTTGTTGTTGTTGCTGCTGGTGGTGGTGGTGGTGGTGCTGCTGCTGCTGCTGATGCTGCTGCAGCACGGAGGCGGCAGCGGCTAAACTACTTGGCAGCAGGCCAGCAGCGGACGTGGCCGCCGCCGCCGCCTGATTGGCGTGGCTGCCCCAGACTACCAACTCACCGTAAGCAGAGCGGCCGGCCGCACGGGTCTTGGCCAGGTTGGCCGGCAGCATCACTTCCTTTGGCTGCGCCTTCTTGCATTCGACCTGCAAAACGACAGAAACAGACAGAGAGAGAGGGTGGGGGTGGGGGTTGGGTAACAGTGGGGAGTTAGTATCTGGGATTCATGGCGCTACGCTCGACTTACCATTTTGTTGTTTATCTCATGGAAATGAATTTCGCAAACTTTGTCTACCACATCTTCGCTTTGAAATGTAACGAAGCCAAAACCTGCAAAGAGGAACAGAGAGAACAGATAAAAGAAGAACAGCAGGAGAAGAACGAGGAGGAGAGAGGGGTAGGGGGGGTAAACGAATGAGTGTGCAGAGTGGGGCAAAAAAGTTTAAGGGCTGCAAAAATTGAACGAAATATGCTTTTGTGTGCGAGCGGCTAAATAATTTACTCAAGTGTCGAGACTCCGAGACACAGGCTGCTGATGGCGGCGGCGCCCTCCGGCCCCACTGCCTACCCCGCCGCCACCCTATTCTTAGTCTGTCCTCAGGCTGACCTCAATATGCATCCCCTGCAGGGACTCAAGTGGCGGCTGGGCGAGTAATTCAAACACTGGACGCTCGCTCTGCTCCGGCACTGGCACTGGCTCTGGCTCCGGGTTTACATAATAAACTTTGCCAGCGGACAAAACTCTGCACTGAAGGATCCCTTCCATACCCCATACCCTGCTCTCTGCCACTCTTCTGCTCTTGTGTTGAGCAGAGCCTAATAACTTTGTCCTAATGGCTGGCTGGCCCAGCAGCGGCAGCGTTCCCAGCAGTTCTGGCGTGGTTCAGCTATTTTTGATATCCTCAAATTAGAGGCTGACGGAGAACTTAAATTCCATGGAATCCCAACTCATTCCAGGGCACAGGCAGCAGGGAGCAGGCGGCAGGGTGTGCCTGGGCAGGATTGCTGTCTAGAATTGGCAAAGGATTTATTGTAGCTTAATTGCATTTCTTCTGTTTGTTAAACTTACAAAATGCCATCCTTCCCCCTGCACACAAGCAGCAGACCAAAACTTTTCTTATCGGATCGTGGAATATGATATTATCTTCTAGTATTTGCCACTATTCTCCTGTGGCTCCGCTACTACCCGCACCCTGCTGAGGCGTTCCACCAATTTGGCCTTATCGGGAGTTTTCAATTAGCGCAATTGTCTGAGATTTCACATGGTCGAAGGCAAAGCACAGTCCACCTCTCCCTCCTCCTCCCACTCCTCCTCTGTGTGTGTGTGTGTGTGTGTGTGTCGCTCTGTGTGCAATTAGCAAGGCCAAGTGCAGACACCTGATGCCCCCGAAAACCCCTATAACGCTGCCTGGCCCCGACTGCTCTCTCTCTCTCTGTCACTCTGTGTATGTTTGCCTTTGGTATGCGGGCGCACCGGGCACGGACAGGGCGTGGCGTGGGCGTAACTGACAAATTAGTTGAAACAAGTAACAGTAAACACGCAGGCAGGCTTATTAGCGACATGTGCCTGGAAGGAGGCGAAATCCAACGCCAACAGCAGCACCAGCAGCAGGAGCAGAACAAGCTCCTTGCCACTTGCTCTGCCCTGGTCCTTTGCCCCAAAGCTTACAGCTGCGAGCTTCTCGCTTCCTGCTGCTTCCTGCTTGTCTCTATCCGTCCCTTGGAGTGTGTTTGTATTTGTTTTAATTATATAAAATTAGCGCACGTTGCAAGTTGCACGTAAAGCTGCCACTTCTCCTGCTTCTGCTTCTGCCTCTGCCTCTCGTGCTTGTGCTTGTGCTTCGGGTTGCTGCCTTCTGCTACTTTTTCGCCTTGGGCCACTCATAAATCAGCTGTGGAACAAATGAAGCTAGCAATTTTTTTTTTGGTAGCCCGCCTCTGGCTCCCACACGTAACTCAATCAAAAATGTATCTGCTGGATACAAATGCGCCCTGGCAGGCTTGAGGAATGCTCGGTCCGTTTGGCTCGTTGTCTAGTTAATTCTGCGGCTGCCTTTGGCCCCCCCTTAGAGCTCAGAGCTCCTGTTTGAGCCTGGTTCTGCGGGGTCGTCTGGGTGATCTGGGGGCCTGGGATCTGGGGGCCTCGGTCTGTGGCCCAGTCGCCATTTTTACCTGTCGAAAATTTCCCGCAGGACGACGACGACGACGATGGCAATGGCAATGGCCATGCCGATGGCGATGGCGATAGGAGCTGACGATGGTCTTGGCAACTGCAAAAATTGCACACTCATGCATGTTATTGCCAAGAAGCGGACATAGATATATGTTCCAGGCATAAGCTCTGACTCTGGCTCTGGCTCTGGCCCTCGCTCTCGCTCTTTGGCTATGCCCCTGGAGCAGGAGTAGAGGAAAACGGGCAGCACGGAGGAGCATTGCGCCAGCTGCTGTTATGACTGCGCTGCGCCGGCTTGCCAAAAAGAAAAATTACAAAATTTTCAATTTTAATATTAGTGGCGGCTGGCGACGCCAACTGCCTTCTCCTTCTTCACTCTCCTCTCCTTTCCTGTACCTATCTATTCCACCGTTTTTTTTTTTTCTGGTGGGTGGGTGGACTCCCCACCCACTACTGGCTGCTTAGGCGCACGTTGGGCATGTCCTTGGCTTGCCAAATGAAATTCATAGCATAGTTTTGGGCGCTGTTCCTGCCTCTTGTCAGCCTTGTGCTGTACAGTAAAGACGGGCTAAGGGCAACATGTGTGGCAAGTCTAAATTATACTACTAAAAGGCACCCAGTAGAGACATCGCATCGCCATCTGCCAAACTTTGCTTTCATTTATCGTTTGCAGAATCGAAATCATGTGATATTTTGTCGATAAAGGGAAACACTTTTGTAAGTTCCTTTGGGCTCCATATTCTCTGTGCTTGAGGGCAGGCGGAGTAGCTCTCTTAGGGCATCTCCACTGTAATTGGAATTGCCTTCCCTGCTGCTGCTGCTGCTGTTTCTATTTTCTGTTATTGTTGCCTGCTGCCTACTATATATATACCTCCCTACCTACCTACCCACATACATATATATATTGTTTTATGGCATATTCATATATTGTTTCCTATATCTATTTTTTGTAGTCCATTCCTCATCCATAAAACGGTTCGCTTGTATGTTCATTTTTGGGCCAACTGTTTCTGTCTCTTGTTATTGCCCGTGCCACTGCCACTGCCCCCTGCCTCTGGGATACGTTGCTGCAATTTTCAGTGACCAGGCTTATGTGTGTTCCAATGTCGGTCGCTTTGTCTATTTGTCTGTCTCTCTGTCTGTCTGTCTGTCTTGCTGTGTGCCTGTCGCTGTGCTGCACACATGATTTATGAATGAGTAACAAACTTGCTGCCGTGTAGCCGGAGCAACCAGCGACGTCTTTTCCACTTTTCCTTCACGTTCGTTTGGGGTTTTTTCTTTTTTTTTGTCCGGCTGCCCCTCTGTTGGCTTCTTTATTATAGTCGATGCCTTGTTTGTGTGTGTGTGTGAGCCAGTGCCAGTGCCAGCACGCTGGCAATTGCCACGTATACGAGGCAGCCCGCTCTCGGATCGATAAAATGCAATTACAGGCATATCGCAAGTGCCAGTAGGCAGGGCGGCAGGCGGTGGCTAGCGGCGGCGGCAAAGGGACAGCAGATGGGAAGATGGGGCAGACCGACTCATGCCAATAAGGTTGTACATCGTCCAACCGTACAAAAAGTCGCCAGCGCCATTCGCTATCGTTGTCGATGTCCTCGTCCTCGTCCTGGTCGTGGCAATGAAGGCTTCTGCTACAACTAATACCCTTTGATTAACGACACACATTTTCTATTGACTTGGGGACGGTGGGTGGGGGCCCTCTTGCCTCTGGTGAAGCAGGACGGACGGTGGCCTGTGAAGTTGGGCAGTTGGCTGCCTCTGCCTCGGCCACTGCCACTGCCTCCTTTCTCCTATTTGCAACCAAAACAATGCCTGCATATTTCATGCCGTGTACTCCGATCGATGCACGCAATTGTAATTTGCAATGCTGACATGGCCTGGCCCTCGTCTCCGTTCGGGCCAAATGAATTGCTCAGCCAATGAGTCGTGTCAATAGCTAAACTGCCGGCCAATGCATTTTTAATTGGCAAATCAGAAAAGTAAGCCGCACACACACACACACACAGCAAGGAAAATCTACAGGGGTATACCTGAGTGGAAATTCATGGGAAATTCGTTCACATCATGGCCACAGAAATTTCTCATTATTTCTACTTGTTATAGCCTACCCCCGCCCACTACCCACCATTGCAATGGTTGGTTGGTTGAGTGGGCGCGCGTACACTCGTGGTACCCATCCGTGTCTCTAAATCTTTAATGTGATGTCCGGGCCGTGTGTCCTTCACATTATTTTTAAAATGCTTCATATTCGTTTTTATTGGCTGTGCCTTCTGCTGCTGCTGCTGCTTCCTTTCCTTTCCTCTCCTTTCATTTCATTTCATTTTTTTCCTTCTTTTTGGAAGCTTCTTTTTTATGTATGTACATATGACTGCATCATCATGCAGTTTCAGCGTACTCCAGCGTCCAATTAAGCGAAATGTTCTGTGGGCTCTGCTCTGCCCCCGCAGCATCCTCTCGCTTATCCGCTTGTTCGTTCGCCGGCGCTTATCTGCGATGCGGCGCACAGAAGTGTGCTACAATTTTTATGGGCCGCGCACAAGCAAAAATCATGTTTTCTTATTCCCGTGTGCGTAATTTGAAGGGCGCAAAAGTTAACAATGTCCGGGGGTGGCTGGCAGCCAACCCAACTATTGATGCATGTACGAGTCTGGCGTGTTCCTCTCTTCCTCTCTTCCTGCATCTGTATCTGTATCTGTATTTGTGTGGCTGATTGTGTCTGTGCTCCTAGCCCACACATCGCTGTGTCTGTGTGTGAGCTAATTACTTTTGACCAAAGGGGGAGAGGGAGCGGGAGTTGGGTGGGATGATGCACTCGTACTGTGGTCTGCCGCCTCCCTTCGATTCGAGGTTTGTGCAAAATTGGGCACATCAATCTTAATGCTTCATGTCTCAGGTTGTGCTCTGACCCCAGACCACCCCACCCCCCCTATGCTACTGCTGCTGCTCCTGTTCCTGCTCCTGCTGTCACAACGGACATGTCAATGGAAGGCAATGGGACCTGGTCGCAATGCGAAATTCGGGGCGTCATTTAAAACTTTAATAAGCAAAATTGACAACGACACAAGGCATCGGACTGTGTACAGGACATGGGACACATCCAGGACACATCCCGTGGCGCGGCAGGGTGGTGGGCAGATGGACATCAGGTGGACACACGGACAGCAGCATCTCTGCTGCCGCTGCCGCTGCCGCCGCTGCTGCTGCTGCTGGACAAACGCAATGGAGGCGCAGTCGTGCGCTACAAGTTCGTGTAGCGGATGTACACTGGAGATTTAAGCTTTATGCTGCTGCTGCTGCTGCTGCTGCTGCTGCTGCTGCTGGTGCCTCACCTGACCTCGCTCTGTCTCCGGAACGATGCTGCCCCATCCTCTTATGGCCCTTATATCCGGTTGCATTGGCAGGTAATTTTTTCGGCTGCCTCTACATCCTGTTGGCCGGCCATTTTAATGCCTTAACAGGGCCCTGAACACCGCTCCCGTTGTGAACGTTAAGGTTTTAAAACCAGATTTAGCCCTTTGCCCCAACCACCCCAAAAATGGAACCCGAATGGAAACCCCTTCATAAGTATCTTTTCCACCGCACACACATAAAAGGACTCTCGTTTGATACATTGACATTGTATCCTTCTGTGTATCTTTGTGTGTGTGTGCTAAGCTCTCTCTCCGGCACTTCCGGCTACCGGAGTGCGGACAGCGGACTGCCGACTGCGCCGCTTCGGGCTGGGGGGTGTATCATCGTTAAGGTCCGGAAACGAGGCTAGCAAATGGTGGCATTGTCTGGTTATCGATAACACTCACCTCTGTGCCGATTGGTCTGCTTATCGAACATCAGCATGGCGTCCTCGATCTGCAAAGAGTCAAAAAAGAGAGCAAGAGAGCGTTTCGTTAGCTTAAAAGTTGCAATTCAGTACAGTTGATTTTTATTTTCTTAGTCGTTTTTCTTTGCCGCACAGTTTGGCGCGGCAGCAGCTCAATTAATGGCCTGAATAAATGTTCGCAGCGGCAGGCGGCCGGCGGCAGGCGGCAGACAAAACTGCTGCTAATTGCAAAGTGAGTGCGCACAATGATGGCCCATAGAACGGGTCCGTCCATCCGTTCGTCCACACACATTCCACCCAGCCAGCCAGCCAGCCAGCCACCCCATTGAACAATCCAACAAACCGAACCATGGGCCCCGCTCCGCTCCGTTCCGCACACACAGCGGAAGAGCGAGACGGGCGAGAGAGCGAAAAAGTTTTAGCCATTATGGCGCACAAGAACTTATAATGATAGTTGACTGTCAAACCAGGCAACTAACTAACTAACTAACTAAATAACCAACCGAACTGACTTTCGAGCCGGTCCGAGTCCGAACACTGGGCTCATTACTGGCCGAATCAGCGAATGATGAACTGACCAAGGGACAGAGTGACAGAGTGACACTGAGCGACTGAGTAGCTGGGTAACAAACTCGTTTCAGTTGTCATTTGATATTTTAATTGATGGCCTAAATGAATGCATGAATTGTGGTGTGCTGCTGCTGCCGTTGCTGCCGCTGCTGCTGCTGCATTTCTCTCTGCAAATTGGGTATCAAATTTTGATTGCATTCCCAGTCTGTCAGCCTGCCAGTCTGGCAGTCTGGCAGGGAATTTAATTTTGGAAATCAATTTAGTTTGCCACTTTAATGATGGATATTCGTATCAATTGTGTGGGGCAAGTATTTTGATCTGAATTGCAATTAAACACAGAAGCATCGGCAACAGCAACAGTAGCAGCAGCAGCAGCCACTGTTTCTGTCTTTGTCTCTGTCTTTGTCTCTGCAGCTGTGGAAAAGCCTCGATAATCGTTTGACAAAAGGATAAAGCAGGCGGAAGAAGCCTTTTGATTGGCTTTTCCAGCAAGACAGTTTTCACCTCAGTTTTCTGGTGGGCTTTGGCCTTGGCTTCGGCTTCCGCTTTGTGTGTTGTCTGCCATTCAATATTATAATGTGACAAGTTTTTCATCATAGTCTCTGTGCTCTGTGTCTCTGCCTTTGCTTGGGCGCATCTATCCTGCTCCTGCTCCTGCTCCTGCTCCGCCTCTATCCTTTCTGCTAATTGCACATTTCTTGTCAAAGTTTCGCTGCGGCCTTTAATGAGCTCCAAGACCAGAGACTGTGGCTGGAGCCTCAAGCAGACGCTGACGCTGAAGCTGAGGCTGTTGTCGAAGCTGAATCTGACGCTGATGTTAACGCTGACCCCGTACCAAGCCCTGACCCCTGAACTTCAGCCTCAGTGACTGCCTGCCCTGTCCTGGCCTGCCCTGTCCCGCCCTGTTCCGCCCTGCCTGGCTGCCTGCTTATGGGCCATTGATTAAGTTTAATCAATGCGCTTACGGCCACTCTTGCAACTCTTGCAACGCAGCTCCTGTGCACAGTAATTAAAATGCAGCCACGACAACGACAGCAACAGCAGCAACAGCAGCAGCAGCAGCGACGGCAACTGCGGCCTTATAAAAATTAATTAAGCTTGCGCCGCAGTTTCCCCTCCCTGCCACCTGACTGGATCGAAGCTTTTGCCACGCTGCCATTCTGCCCCGCTGCCACTGGTTGTTGTTCGCGCCTCGCACGCCCTGAAATTCGCAGCTCTTCAAGTGCAGCCGTCGATGCAACCAACTACAACATTGTTTTTCAATTAACAATCAACAACAATGCCGCAACAATACAAGCGAACAGAAAAGAACAGAAACCGAACCCAACAGAACAGCGAAGGTTGCACGCGCCAAATGACACAAAAATTGCCAGCTCAGGTGCCGGAAGGAAGAGGCAGGAAGAGGCAGGAAGCAGCAGCAGCAGCAGCAGTCTGGTAGCAGCAGCAGCAGCTGGAGGAGGTGGCAGCAAGTAGGTGGCAGCAAGTAGGTGGCAACTACAATTGCAATTGTTGTTGTTAATTAAGCGGAGGCACACACAACTGCAAAAGCATTGCGGCCTGTTGTTAATGTCCCGCCCCATCGATGGGCCACGCCCCAAATGTCACCACCCATCAGCCACAGTCCACGTGACCATCCAATGGCTGTCATAATTACACTGCTGCTGCCCCTCCCCGGCACTGGGATCGCGGCTCGTATCGGATCGGTTGCTGCCGCTGCTGCTGCTGCTGGTGCTGCTGGCTCATTATGTTGTTGCCCCATGCTGCCGCTCCCATCGGGGCGGGCAACCGCAAACTTTAATTCTATTAGCAAACGTTAAATGTACACCACGAATGTGGGTGGCAGAGTGGGACACATAGGAGACTGGGAATGGGGGCGAGACAACTGCCGCTGCTGCTGCCAGTGCCATGGCTGCTGCTGCTGCTGCTTCTGCTGCTGCCACTAACAAGCAGGCGCACGCGGCGGTAATTTTATTTAAATCTGAATTCATTAATTCGTCATAATCCCCAATCATTCGGGGCTGCCTGGGCTGCCCCCGTCCCTCCACCGTACGGTCGCTGCTGCTGTCGTCGGAGGAGAACTTCAAAAAGCCATCAACGACAGACGTTGCTGCCACAGCAGCCCCAACCAGCAACCAATCCCTGCCTCCCAACCCTCCATCCAACCCAAAATGCCAGGCCATTCATTTGGCTCATTTTGTGTACAAAAATGCTGCGCTCAGTGGAAACGGCGACGCTTCATTATCGTAATCGTTATATAAAACAGCGGGCAGACTCCGCAGACTACAATGTCAGACAGTCCATGGTACGTGTGTGCCTGTGTGTGTGTGTGTGTGTGTGTCTGTATCTGTGTAAGTGTATATGTATGTATTTTATGCGTTTTGTGGCACATTATGTGCCTAGAGAGATGAGAGGCAGGCGACTCCTGCCTTCTGTGGCTGACATTAATGAATGTTGCCGACAAAAGAGTGCTGCGGGTGATTTTTATTTCTCTGTGTGTCCTACCCAAAATTAAGGCAGGGGCCGGCCGAAAAATGAGGCCCGAAAGCAGCCATCGATAAGGAAGTTGGTCAAAGAGGAAGATGGATGGATGGATGGCTGGATGGCAGGGAAGCAGAAGGAAAGACAGAAATACAGGGGTTGCCTGCAAGTCTGATTTCGATGTAAGGCGAAAGGGTTTTCCTTTTTGCCTGGTTTCCCTTCATTTTCCACCCACCCGTTTGCCCTGTAAAGCGAAAAGGTTTCTTGTGGAGCAGCAGCTCTGATTCCCTGATTTCCCTGTTAAGTGAAACGTTTTAATGAGGCATTTTTCCCATGATTCCCTGAATTTTCAGCAATTTTCTTTTCTATTTAAAGCTACTTGCCAGAGCAAAAAGAATGTTCTTTAGGGGTTTTCTGGGTAAATAATAAAAGCAAAAGAATCTTTTTGCTACAATTATGAGTCTTATGGATGTTGTCCAATGTCCAATTTTTGTGCAGTTTTCAGTTGCCAGTGTCACTGGTCGCCACTTGTTAAATCGTCAGCATTCCCCCTGCCCCCTGGCCACTTGCCACTGCCACTCCGCATCCCTCTTGCATTTCACTGCTCTGCTTCCCTGGCCATTCCCACGCCTTTGGTTTTGTTTCAAAGTCCCCAAAGTTCTAACTGGATAATTTGCAGTAATTCATCTTGCTGGCGGTTTTCTCTGCTCAATGCTCTGCTCGAATTTTTTCTCTTCGGCATACCCCTTGGCGCCCCGCCCTGCACGCCTTTGTATGCCTGCTTGATTGCGACAATTTATACGGCGTCAGGCTTGTCAGGATTTGGTTTTTGGTTGCCTCTCTGCGCCATGACGTGGCTGCGGCTGCTTGTAAAATTGAAATAAAAAAAAATGAAAAAAGGAATAAGTGGCAGGCAGGCAGTGGCAGGCAGTGGCAGGCAGTTGGAGCAGCTCTTCAAAAATAGTACCACATGCACAGCGAGCGAGAGATAGAGCGAAATTTAAAGCTGCAAAAGTGAATAGTCATACATCTAATGATAGCTCGACTGCCGCCCCTCCCCCCCCGCCACGACCCACTGTTCCAAAAACCCAACCGAAAAAGCACTCGACTGGCTCCCAGCACTTACTTATTTTTCGTTTGTGCAAAAAGCGAGAGAGCGCGGGCGAGAGTGGGGCGGGGTTAGGAGCCAAAGTGATGGGAAAAAAGTAAACTTTTGCTAGCTGCTGGACGTGTGCGACTCTTGTCGTTGGAGCCAGGAGCCAGGAGCAGGGATTGGGCCACGGGTACGGGCTCTAGCTGAAGCTGAAGCTCGAGAGCTCCAGAGCTCGAGAACTCGTGTCTGGTTCTGTGACTGGGATCTAGGCGGCGGGGGTGGTACCATCTTTCAAAAAACTTTGGCCAGGCGACAGCAAAAAAACAGCAGCGGCAGAGCCAGCGGCAGCGACAGTGGCAGTGGCAGTGGCAGTGGCAGAGAGTTCTTATGTACCACATCCTCTACTCTACTCTACTCTACTATACCCGTATGTGTATCTGTATCTGTGCATCTGGTGTGTGTGTGTGTGTGTGTGTTGTGCCATGTAAGCACATGACTGCGTGCGGTTGAAATATAGATAAACTTTTTTAAGCTCGTATTTATTACATATTTGGCTGTAAGTAGAATTTAAGTTGCTTTTTGCTTCGCCAACAGACACCGACCGAAGACCGAAGAGCGACGACAACCCACACACACACACACACTTGCATGCACACACTGCGTATGAGTAATGTCCAAGTGCTTCCTCCCACCAATTCCAATTCGCCCATTCACCCGCTCTCTTTCTGTCTCTCTCTCCTTCTCTCACTCATGTGGCATGCGATCTGCTGTTTGTGGTAAATTTGCAATCAAAAACGCATCAATTGATGCCATCAGTGAGACAAGGAGAGAAAGAGACACAGACACAGAGAGATAGAGAGACAGAGAGAGAGAGAGAGAGAGCAGGAC